TTCTCTCAGAGGGACATCTCAGGTGTCCATCTTTCATATTCCAACATCTTGTGACAGGCCCATGTTCATCATTTTCCTCAGTTAAAGAGACACGGACTCAAACACAGATTCTTCTGCCACAGGGAGCATCTCCCACCACTCCTTGAATATTTCATGCTAATGAGACCACATTACCCTTTCTTCACTGTGCAAAAAGCCCAACAGAGCACCAGGCCAGAGCATAAAAGGAAACTAAGTCTTCAGCCCTGTGATGAGGGCACACACCTAGAGATTGAACCTGGTTACAACCCATTCTCTACAGCTTGGTTCTGCTTTTCTGTGTAACTTTTTAAAGTAAACTACAGGGACAATATTGAGACATGGCCAGGAATCCAATAGTCCTTCCTCTCAGGAAGAACATGCCCAGCCACTAGCTATTGGTCCAGCATTTTCTGTATCTTATTCTCCAAGCAGCAATAGTTTCAGTCAAAAAAATGCAGACAGTTCTCACCTCTGAAAAACCTGCAGGCTTGTGATTTGATTGTTCCATTGAAAGGAAAGGTGTTAGTCTCCAGAGGCTGGGAAGTCCTGTCTTTTGTATCAAATGTGGGTACTTAAACTTTTGAACTACCAGTTAAGTAACGCTGCTGTCACTAACTTTGCTAGGCAGCCAGTGTTGTTAGACAGTCCCTGAGAATGCCTACCTGAGAGGCTGCGAGCAAGAGTGCAAATCACATCTATTTTGAGGGGCCTGGCAAGGCCTCAGCCATGATCAAAGCTGTACCAATTGCTTTGCAGTTGCAAGGCTGAGGTGCTTGCAGGCATAACAAAACCCAGACCTTTGGGGTACAACTTCATTATCCACACAGTGCTGTGGAGGGGTGGGAGAACCAGCTGAACGCAGGAGTAAGAAGGGAACATTTGGCAGTGCCCTCCTGCCACTTACCCCTCCTGACTCCTGCACAAAGATGCTGCTGCAACAGCACAGGCAGTCCTGCAAGACCCCAGCTCATATTTCTGCTGCTCGTTGCTTTGTGCTGTTCAAATGCATGAGCCTCTGACTCAGCGTGACTACCAGGACACAGCACTAACTGCTACAGTTTAGCTGCATTCTGCACCACCAACACAGAGTTCAGGGGGCCTAGGGATCCTGCAGAAGGTTTTGAGGCCCATGAATGTGGACTCAGCAAAGCTTGTCCTGGAGGGAACCTTGAGCCACCTCACTTCTTACCCCTCCTCACCAGCTTTAGATCCATGACAATACTGCTTCCAAGTGTGTAACTTGGGGGATTTTGTCCTGGAGGAAAATCAGTCACTTCTCCCTTGTCCCCTGCCCTACTAACACACCAAGAATGCTTGGAACTGAGAGATTACTTTACAGACCTGCAAATTGCTGTTACCAGTTCGTGGTTGTCTGTTTTAGCAACAAGCACTAAGAATTCCAGCTCACTGATTCTGAAGGGAACTGCTTTGCCACACGAACAAGGCAATGTAAAAATAAATCCATGTTATGAATCCAAGTCAAAATTAATCCATCTGAAATGCACATACAACCGCTTTTGGATATTTTTTTTTTCTTCAAGTAAAAAACAGTCTTCTGTAGGAAGAAAGAAAGAAACCTGTAGGGCATACCTCTCTTCCAACAGAGACAATGGTTTGTTTGGGTTGGAGCCCTGCATTTTCCAGGGCTGTTTGTTCAGTATCATAAATCTCTAAAACAAGTAGTGCGTCCTCTCTACCTTCAGGTAATGACATTAAGAAAAACAAAGCAGGAAAATAACCAAAAGGTTGGTTATTATTATTTTTAAAACCCCACAACAACAACCAAACGAAAACCAAACAGTTCTCTTTCCAATAAATTATTTAATCCAGAGGCACCTTACCCTCTTCTCTTATCCCTTTCCAAACATTTTTCTAACTTAATTTCTATTTCCTAGGTGAATTTTTTGTTCTTTTAACTTAATCACAAAACATTTTTTCAATTGTTTAACATGACAGAATGGCAAAAAAATCCCAGCACTCTATTAATACAACTCAAAATTGTGTGTCCAACGCTGCAGCAGAGCCAGTGCTACTTTACAGGAAGGTTTTATCCAAAATTCCTTAGTGCTGTCATGGAATAAATCTTCATTCATCACCCTCCACTAGAGAACTTTCTTCTTGTTTTACACAAATCTAAGCTACTGGTGTTTTATGGGTTTTCTTTTTGTTTGTTTTGCTCTTTTTAATGAAGCAGTTTCTTCCAAAAGATGTTTTCCTGGCAATGCAATTTCAGCCACACACACACACACTCACACAAAGTATCCTGGTTACAATCTTATTTGTACAGAACAGAGTTCATAGCTAAAATGAGCAAAATACCCTCCAACCTCCCCTGTGAAGAAATTAAACTAATACTATGCATGTTTTTATTATTGGGGTAGTCTATTGAAGTTATAATTGTACCTGGCTAGTGATCTTATTTTACCAAGTCCTCAATGGGTTTCTGGTGTCTTTTTATTGCCCCTCCCAGGCCCTAGGAAGTTCTTGTATTCTTGTGTATCATTATTTTGTTCCTGTGAGTCCTTGGAAGTATTTAGATAATACTAGGAGTTTGTCTTTCTTCTTGCTGGGGGGAAGGAAGATGTTTTTCCACATCTAAGCACCCAGTGAGCTTCACCCGACTAGGCTGCACATCAGGTTACAATGATCCCAGCAGACACTCCACTGCAAACTGGAACTACAAATAACTTGGAATTCCCTACTAGATCTGGTAACAGCAGTGATGAAAACTCTCTGCTAATGCATTTCAGAAGTATACCTGCAGTCTCTGATATTTGAATCAGCTAGTAGGATCCAGTTACAGAAAGGCCATAGTTAACATATTCTCAACTAAGTCCCCCAAAACTTACTTACCATGGAAACCACTTATCTGTAAAGCACTAAGGATGGCTGAAATATTTTCTCTTGACAAAAACGGGAGTGAAGCCAGAAAAAGATGGGATTGTGCATAATGAGGCCTTTGATCCTTCATTCACATCTGTGTTAAGTAGAAACAACCTCGGTGAAGCAGGTTGAGTTACAGAGTGGAATTCATTTATAGGACAGAAGTAGGTTTGACACATCACCTAGTTCAGGTTCTTTCTGGAGCTTTTCCCATTATCTTAATGCATTTATGTTAACAGATTTTCGTTTCACTTTTCCAGTAAGAGAAACTTAGTAATACAAAATAGCATCTGTATCTAAAACGTGTAGACACATTCCAAGCTTTTGAGATAAATGGAGCCACTCGGTCTTGCTGAGGCTCAGAATTTTGCAGTCTGAGATGGAAAAGTGCCTGTAATTCAGGCCAGGCCCCAGAGTCCCCAGGTGCCCCATGTCTGTACCAGGGCCCTGGCTGGGCAGCGCCCGCAGAGCCCCACGCTGGAAAATCAGGTCAGGAACAGAAATCCTTGCTCCCAGCTTTGCATAGATCTCTTCAATTTACGGGTTCTCATTCAAACCCAAGTTTTATCAGGTTTTAACGGAGCAACTTCCTGGAACGTCACCATCCCAGCGCTGCGGGCCCTTTCAAGCAGGTACCTGCTGGGAGTCCTGCCGGGTGCGGTCTGGGTGTGACACGTGCCCGGGGGCCGCGACGGCACCGGCACTCACGCGCACCCTCCCCTTTTGGTGTTTTTAACCTTGACTGCCAGTCACACCGCAGCCGCCGCCTG